CCGGGAGGCCGGGGAGGGGGTGGGGGTGGCGCCGGGCCCCGTCCGGACCCGGGCCCGCCCGTCCCACCGGAAAACCGAGCGGAGCAGCCCGGCAGCACGCTCGCTCCCGGGACGCGCAGGGACGAGGACCGCCAGGAGCCGCCGGAGCGCTGTTTCCCGGGACAGCCGACTGCGGACCCCGGGGCCGCCTCCTGGGATCCTCTCCACCGCGGGCGAGCGTCCCGCCCATGGTGCCGCTAAGCACGCCGAGACCAGCGAGGTGACGGAAGAGGCAAGGGGAGGTGGCAGGCGCAGAGTCAGAGGCGAGGCGGGACTAACTGCCTGAGCCCCCAGCCACTATGGATCAAAGGGCCTCAGAAAAACAAATACTTCTCGAAGAGTTCCAAGAAGGGGCAGGTTCACCCTTGCACACAGGATCGGGGAGGACAGTGACCCAAGAAGGGACAAGTGACTTCTGGCATTTGGGATCAGGGAAGGGGCCAAGTGTTTTGGCTTTCCAGCCATGTATAAAGCAAAAACACCCATGTTTTAAAAAATATATTTATTTTTCATTAGTAAAAGGAAGTTCAATACTGATAGGAAGATGCAAAATTGTCCTTTCGTGCATTTGTGGAGCTTTAACTTAGTGACTGTGATTTCCCCCTCACAGAGCTGAGTCTCTAGATGACAAGGCTGACTCTAAGAACTTAGCCTTCCTGTTGGATTTTCCCATCAAGGAACAAGTGGAATGTTCGAAGTATTTCTTACAATTCTAAACCAAAGCTCAGCATCAATGACCTGGCTGTTAGAAAACTATTACTTGGAACTGCCTTATTTTCATCATCCTGAAGTAAGATTTCTTAATAACCTTACCGGAGATAAACGAGATGGCATGCAAGCAAATTTGGCTTTAAAATTTTAATGAAGAAATTTACTGTTTTTAAATGCAGACTGCACAACAGTTATAGAAGTTTTTTGTTTTCCAAAATGAATCAGGTCCGAAAATATCTGAATATTTAACTCATAAATATCATGAGTTACCTAAGCTATATTCTATGGCTTATTAAACTACTGCAGACTGAAAACTGAGAACAGAATGTTTTTATAAAATACCCACTCAGGAAATGAGGACACAGTGGCATTCAGTGAAAGGTGAGGCTCTTCAAAGTCCAATCTGCGATGAATGGAAAGCTCACCGTGATCATCAGAACAACCTTTGAGCTCCTTAACTGATCACAATTATGTCACCATGAGGACATTCCTTACCCTTGCAGGATGAAATCAAATTCTGTTTCCTGAAGAAATCCCTTGGATTTTTACTTTAGGACTCCATCAACACAGAGAATGAACATCTGAATGAAAACTGGAAAATGTGGCCGTCATGCCATTTATCATGACATGTCCTCTTTAGGAAAATAAACAGATATTTAGCATCATCCAGACAACTGACCATTTTTCCTCTGGATATTTGCTATTAAGGGAATGGAGTCGGTCTTGAAAATTGTATGTGTAATGGTTCTACCAAACAACTTAAAAACAAAGCACAGCAACTGCTCTGGTAACATGACATTGGAACCTATAGATTTAGGGGAAAAAAAAAATGTCCCCGGTGCCTAAAAGACACCATCAAACTCTATTTCTAGAGAGTTCACAGATGTTAGACTATTAATACATTCTTTTATATAACTATGTAGAATATAATACTATTACATAGGTTTCAATTAAAAAATGACTCTCCCCTCTCTGTTCTATATCATGATAAGAGGTGTTACTTAGAATTACCAACTGGCCCATAACAAGTTACCAGAGGGGGCCCTAAAAAATTCCAGCAGACACCACGTTGTCTCTTGTTTACTAATCAGTTAATAGTGCGCTGAAATTGGGGGTTTCCTAGGGATGGATTAGTTACCATTTTCTTACCACAGTTCCTTGGAATAAAGTAATAAAGATGCCAACTGGTGGGGGACAAGTCTGCAACCTCGGCAGCATTATTGAGATTTTGTATTCCCCCAAAAGAAGTGTCCAACCAACAATACACCTTTCCAGGGAAACAACTCTGAGAACAGAATCAATTCCCAGAGTCTCATCAGCATCGTTTTAGGTTTGATACTGTAATAGGAGGAACAAAACCCAGCCACTCCAAACTGGTTTTGGGTAACAGCTCCCAGAAGCGGCATGGAGCATTTACTACACTTAGAAAGGTTTAATGGTGGAGTCACAATTACGTCAGCGTGCTCAGTTCCTGCCTCTCAGCAAACAGGTCTTGACATTACTTGAGAAGATACGCTTAGATTCGGGGCTACCACAAGCTCAGCTTGGAATGAAAATTCCAAACTCTGCCACTAGCCAGGTGAAGGAGTATGGTGACAAACAGGCCTTTTCATGTGCATTCCTCAAAATGTTAAGAAAGTGAGAACACTGCAGATTTCTTTTTGAAAACAGTTACCTAAAATCAATTACAGTAAAATATGAAAAATGAACATAATTTACAAGAATATAGATCTTCCTCGACTTACGATGGGGTCTCATCCTAAGTTGAAAATGCATCAGGTGAAAAACACACCTCACCTAGCGGCCACCACAGCTCAGCCCGGCCCACCTTCAACGTGCTCAGAGCACCGACGTGAGCCTCCCGCTGGACAAAATCACCTGACTAGGCACTGACGGTGACAGACGATGCACGTGGCATCTGTGACCCTCGTGATCGCGTGGCTGACGGGGAGCGGCGGCCGCTGCCCAGCATCACAGGCGGGACAGGATGGGACCGCGGATCGTAAGCCCGCGACAAGGTCTAGATTCAAAATTCCAAGTACGGTTTCTACTGAATGTGTTAATCGCTTTGATGCCATCATTAATTCAAAATTCATTAAATCAAATGACTGTTAAGTCAGGGGCTGTCTGCACCGATTAAAATGTTCAGTAGGACTGACCCAAATTCATTCAAAACTAAATGTCAAGTGAATAGATTAATTTAAACTAAAGATTATAAGAATTAATTTTCAATTGATCCGAATAGTGTTTGAAAGTTTAACTCTTAATACCTTTATCAGACCTTTATTTAGAATTAGTCTGAAAGTAAAAAATTATAATTATCTATTCTCAAGGACAGGTGCAATCTCTTCATGGTAAAATATCTTAATTTATATTTTGTTATAAAAATATACAAAACACTACTTTTTCTCTTCCCTTCACTCAGTATAAACCCCTTTTGGTTCAGTAACATCAGTAACATCAGCCAAGCTGGTCTCGAAGTTCAAATCACATCCATATTGTATCTTCTACAGTCACACTGGGTTTTAAGGCTCAGTATACAGTTTATCTTTCAAACATTACAATTATCATAATTGGTTTTATATAAGGATAACAGGGTAAGAATATTTTTAAAAATATACAAGTGCGATAACCATCTGTTGTACGTTATTTTATCCCATTTTCCCCAATTATTAAAACAAGGCAAAATTGTAGAAACAATCCCCTACTTGCAGTTCTAGATAGCATACAATAAAAAAATGTTTACATACTTTTAATCAAGCAGAATGTGAATCTTTTGATTATCCGTCATTAAATTTTTTAAAAAACTAAACTTCAGCTGTTGGAAAATATTATCTGACAATGTCAAGCGACAGAATAACTTTTTTTTTCTAATAAGGTGAAAAGGAATTGAGTATCTAAGACCATTTTCACTTAGCCATTCAAAACCGCTTCTCTCCTCCAAGCCTATATTTTTAAAAATAACTTTAACATAACTTTTGGCCTTAACTTATATGTGCTCATCGTAAAAACTGAAAGAAATTTATCTATCTGAAATTGATAAACTTTACAAAATATTTAACATGAGGAAGAGGTATATCTTACAGAATGATTTGGCTATATCATAAGGCAATCAACGAAGACGGAATTTTTCCTATCGTAACTCTGACGTAAGTGAAATTCTGTAACATGATAATTCTCCATAAATTTGACAGCTTGTTAGATATGGCAACTCGATCATGCCATGTCGTCACTGAATTTCGACGAAAGTAGTCTGAATGAGAAAGGAACAAATTTGGTGCCTGCACCAACGTAGAACTTGTTCTGAAATTCTACCCTAAAAAAAAAAAAAAAAAATTCAGTTTATTAATGAAAGATTGTAACATTTCCTACATTTCTTAAAACAACATGTATAAGTTAAAAAACAAAAAAACAGGGGCGCCTGGGTGGCTCAGTCATTGGGCATCTGCCTTCGGCTCAGGTCACGATCCCAGGGTCCTGGGATCGAGCCCCGCATCAGGCTCCCTCCTCCTCAGGAAGCCTGCTTCTCCCTCTCCCACTCCCCCTGCTTATGTTCCCTCTCTCGCCGTGTCTCTGTCAAATAAATCTCTAAAAAAAATAAAAATAAAAAACAAAAAAATTAAAAAGTTCCTGTGCTGAAGTTGCTTCCATTCCGTACATCTTTTTTTTTTTTTAGATTTTTATTTATTTATTTGAGAGAGAGAGAATGAGAGAGAATGAGAGGGGGGAGGGTCAGAGGGAGAAGCAGACTCCCTGCCGAGAAGGGAGCCCGATGTGGGACTCGATCCAGGGACTCCAGGATCGTGACCTGAACCGAAGGCAGTCGCTTAACCAACTGAGCCACCCAGGCGCCCCATTCCGTACATCTTGCACAAATGTTTTTACTTAAATAAAACACACACACACACACACACACCCTGCCCCATGTGGCCTTTCTTGGTGTATAATGGAAACACAAACCCATCACACCACCTCACGCACTCCACACAGACACGCCCCTCTCTCCAGCCTGGCACCTTCACACACAGACAACTGATCTGACACATACTAGAAACCATTAAGAAATATGTAAGAATTTTATTTTACAATAAGATAAAGTAACCTTTCAGACCCCAAATGAATTAAAAGTATTATATATACAAAGGTATTCAGCAAGCATAAACTTTTACTGGTCAGTGATAATACTTCAGAAACAAAATACAATTTTAACTCAGGGGATCTGAATCTAGATCCCAGTGTAGGGAAGGCAAGAACCAGCCCAAATTAAGTGGCCATATTTGTGTGGGGTTATATATATACATGTGGGGAAGGGGTTCTTTTTTTTAAATAACAGCTTCAAAGCTAAATTACACACTCACCAGTGGAGGCGTATGGCGTGAAGAAATGCAGAAAGGCCTTCCATGATCAAAAGGATGAAAATTGTCAGAACTGCAAAGAGAGCGATAACTGGTAGCAGCAGCAAGACTCCGTAAGTGGTGTCTACTCGGAGGCCCACGCGCACCAGCATGGTCCACAGGACGTCGGATAACTCTGCAAGGGAGGCAGTTAGCAGAGTTCACTTCTGTTTACACACACTGAGTCACTGCAATTAGCTCGTGGGACCAGGTTTCCTTCCGACAATTCTGAATTATTATCCACGAAATAATATACATACTTACATAATCTAGATGTAATCTGCTTCTCGTGCAAAAGCTAACCAGCCCCTGATCATCTCACACCCTGAGGAAGATGGGGCATGCCAGAGAAATCTGAGGCCTGCCTGCCAATGAGAGAGCTTAACCCAAACCAGGGTCGGGTTGGCTCTGTCCCCACACAATACTAGTTCGCACAGCATCTGAAAGATGGGACTGGGCTTCCCTCAGAAATGTGAAATTTCAGGGGCGCCTGGGTGGCTCAGTTGGTTAAGCAACTGCCTTCGGCTCAGGTCATGATCTTGGAGTCCCGGGATCGAGTCCCGCATCGGGCTCCCTGCTCAGCGAGGTGCCTGCTTCTCCCTCTGACCCTCCCCCCTCTCCTGTACTCTCTCTCATTCTCACTCTCTCAAATAAATAAATAAATCTTTAAAAAAAAAAATAAAAAAAGAAATGTGAAATTCCCCACAGTGCCTCCCGAAGGGTTCACTGTGGCACTGTGGGGTGTCTCAGCATAGAGTTGGGGAACTGCAGGTCTAAGCAAAAACTTACGTGCGTGAGCCAAACTGAGAGCCCAGAGCCTCAGGTATGAAGCGGTGTTGGAGATGCATCCCAGACAGTACTCGATGGAATGAATCACTTGGGTCATTAATATTTCTCCAAAATTAAACTGGGAGAGATCACACAACATGTGTTAGATCCAGTATATTGCCCGTGTGCTCCCACAAGTTACCCGTGGGTCCACTCTCACTCCCACGCTCTCGGTGAGAGAAGTGGCCTCTGGGATGGTGGGGAGAACACGCCGGAGCATGAGGAACAGTGAGTCAAAGATCTGAGCTCTACTCACAGCTCTACCACAGACCGACAGAGTGGCTCCCCCGGCCTCAGTTTCCCACAGGGCACTGGACTGGAACTGTCCTCACAGCCCAATGTGACTCAGGAGCTAGACTCTGACTAACTGTGCATGTCTGAGAGACACATGCAAGCCCAACAAGGAGAAACTGTGAAGAGGAGCCCCTGACGGCAAAAAAGGCTGTATGACCCTGTGAAGGAGGCCTCCAACACTCTTTCCAGCTCTGCTTCTTGGTCTTTTTTATGATCCTATGAATCATTAGTCGTCCCAAATTAAAACACTAAATTACATCATAATTACAAAATGTTGATTCTAAGAAATTTTGTTTAGTCTTTATCAGATGGCCAAATGAAGTTTCCAAGAACATGAAGCAAACCAGAGTAGCAGAAATGGCTCAGTTGTATCTGCCCAGGACTGTGCCTCCCTTCTCTGTGGGGAACCTGCTTCTTCCACCATTCACCCCATCCCCCAACCACAGCTGTCATGGGCCTGACCTGTGTGTCCCCCTCCAAATTCCTGTGTTGCAGCCCTAACCCCCAGTATGACTGTGTTTGGAGATAGGGCCTTGAAGGGAGTCATTAAGGTGAAGAGAGGTCATAGGGGTGGGTGTCCTTACAAGAACAGACACATGCCCACAGAGGACAAGGCCCTGTGAGGACACACTGAGAAGGCAGCCATCTGCCCCGAAGGAGGCCTCGGGAGAAACCGGCCCTGCCAACATCTCGAACCTGGACTTCTGGCAGTCGATTTCTGCGGTTATGGCGGCCCATGCAGACTACTAGAGCTGCTGTTATATGGGGAGGGCAAGTGACCCCCGCCAGGCAGTCACAGTACTTCCTTGGGATTCTTCCTAATATAACAATCAGCCCAGAGTGCTTTTCTCTCTGACCGAAAGACTGAAGAAAATAAGCTCAGGGCTAGCTGTGGCCAAGGTTCCAAAATCGTGGGGCCAACTGGCTTCAGAATGTAAAACAAACTTTCAAAGAAAAACCAACCCAGAATTCTTGGAATTGGAGACCCGGAAACCAATCATCCTGGAGCTAGCATGGCTCCTGTCCTGACGTGAGCCAGTCAGCAGACTCGCCTTGAAGCCAGTGTCAGGCAGGTCTCCTCCTTACATCTACGAAAAAGTTCTGAGACAAGATTCTTCTGAAAGCAATGCTCATGGCACCTTAAGTCACTTTGCAGGACAGCGTGTAATGTTAACACTATAAATCCCACTGTGAGGTTGAAAAAACAAAATGAGAACCTTCCTGACAAACAGATGACCAAAGCAGCATCTGGGAAACTTTGTGTCACAGGTGTTTGGGGGTTGTTTTTTGTTTTTGTTTTTTTAAGATGATTATTATCATTGTTCTAATGGTAATTATCTCTATGAAAGCTTCACTTTTTTTCTTTTTTTAAGTAAACTCTACGCCAATGTGGGGCTCGAATTCACCACCCCAAGATCTACCGACTGAGCCAGCCAGGCACCCAAGAGCTTGGCTTCTAATCTAATGTTATTGATAGTAACAGAGAAGATTACCTCTTCACACGTCATTTCTCTACATCCATCTTCCATTTGGTTATTTCCTTCTTCTATGTCTTGGCTTCCCAGCAGAGAAACTTCTTCCTCGCTATCCTTCCTGATAAGTGTGTAACCACTCTAACAACAACCAAAAGAATGCAGAGTCATTGCCTTTAAAATCATAAGGATGTGACAAATCCAAAGCCAGAGCCCCTTCATTTCTCTTAATGATTCAGCTCTTTGAGAATAAAAAAGTTGTTCAGAGACTCTTAATGACAGAGAACAAACGGAGGGTTGGTGGAGGGAGGTGGGTGGGGCATCAGCTAGATGAGGGATGGGCATTAAGGAGGGCACATATTATGATGAGCACTGGGTATTGTATGTAAGTGATGAATCACTGAATTCTATTCCTGAAACCAATTTTACCATATGTATTAATTAACTAGAATTTAAATAAAAACCTGAAATCAAAAAAATAACATTAAAAAGTTGTTTACAAGAACATGAGCATACCACACCTATTAAGATGGCCATTATTAAAAAAATAATAAGTATCATTTAGGGTGTGGAGGAACTGGCACTCTGTGCACTGCTGGTAGGAATGTAAAATGGTACAGCCACTGTGGAGAACAGCATGGTGGGGCCTCGAAAAATTAAACACAGACCGACTGTGTGATCGAACAACTCCATTTCCGGGTACGTATCCAACAGAATTGACAGCAAGGACTTGGACAGATTTCCAAACACCTGTGTTCACAGTAGCATTACTCACAATTGCTAAAAGGCAGAAACAACACAAGCATCCACTGATGGATGAACCAATAAGCAGAATGTGGTCCCGCCATGCAACGGAATATGACTGAGCCTTAGGGAGAGAATTCTGACACCTGCTGTGACCTGGATGAAGCTGGAGGCCATGGTGCTCCACGAAACAAGCCAGGCACAAAAGGACAAATCCTGTGTGAGTCCATGCCCATGAGGAGCCTGGAGGGGTCGAACTCACAGCAACAGAGGGCAGAGTGATCGGGGAGGAGGATGGGGAGTCAGTGTTTCGCAGGGACAGGGTCTCAGCTGGGGAGGATGACACAATTCTGGAGATGGACGGTGATGGCAGCTGCACAGCCCTGTGAATGTGCTTCACGCCACCGAACTGGACACTCAAAAATAGTTATAATGGAAGCATTTGTTACGTCTATTTTATCACAGTAGTTTTTAAAGAAATAAAATGAGGAAGCGGACACACAGGAAAAGTCTAGAAAGAAATCTAGCAAAATGGTGATCCTGGCTCTAGCCGAGGGACAGAGGAAGGCTCCGCTTTCTCTACATTCCCTGTTTTCTATAATTTAGTTATATTACTTACATTAAAAAAAACACTTTAAAGAAAAAAAAGTCAAGAATCCAGAATAAGGCACAAAAACGCTTTAACGATGACCACCGTGCCGAAGGACTGCGCTCCAAGCCGCAGCGGGCCCGCTGCTCGGGGGGCGGCTCGCACTCGTCCGCACACAGCAGGCTCGCCGCAGAAGCTCCTGCAGCGCAGGGAGCACCTCGGAAAGGTGTCTTCTGGACTCATCTCTGTGTAACGAAAACCGGACTCCGCTCGCCACCTGCAAACACACACCCGGACTCGCGCTTACCCTGCTCACTCCGAAGCAACTGCGCCCATTGTGCAGCCACAACAAGAAGAGTGGTTTTCCCAGGAAGAGAACAGGGACGGACAGCGCCGTGACGGCCAGCAGCAGTCTCTGGACGTGGTCCTGTGGGCGCAGAAGCGGGGCAAGTCAATTAGGATGCAAAGATGTGCGAACAGGGTCACTGGTGCACTCAGTGAGTGAAGACCACGGACAGTGTCTCCTTCTTCACAATAACAAGGAACAGAAGGTAAACACAAGCCAAATTCTATCTGCAGTGGATCTTTTCCTAAACTTCTAGCTGAATTCCAGAACCGATGAGTAACACTACTGACAGAGTGGGAAAGTATCACTCAGTTCAGATCCATAAGGAATGAATAAGAAAATTGTAAACAGAGTCAAACTCCAGCTAATAATTTTCTGAAAATACCATTAAGAGGATGAATACAAACACAAGCTCTTCATTTTTTTTTTATATTCTTGTTCTGTTTTTTTTTTATTACCATTTTAAAGATTACTTGAGGAATGTGAGGACACAGTTAAGCGGATTCACTTTTACATGAGAAAAATACTAAAAGAGGATTCAGAACAAAACTAAAAAATTTTCTTTAAAAAGTAGGGATATTTACAGTTACCCAAAAATAAATCGAGAGCAAAGCATATTCACACTTACACAGCCACTGCAGTTTGCATGATTTTAAGGGATCTGTAAGTGGCTATGGAAACAAATGACTAGGCCTCACACTGTCCCCGGCTTCTCCCTCGTCTGTGGCCGTCCTCACGTTCGTTACACAGATTCCCAGAGCCGTATGCGCTGCGTGGGTACACGTTAGGAGGAGGTAGCAGACTGGGTTAACGTCTGGGCCCCACTGGCCGCTGAGTGACCAGGTCTGCCCTGAGCCACCGGGACGGCAGCACCCACCCCGAGGGCTGCTGTGAGGTAAGGAGGAAGAGTCACGGGAAGCACGTTTTCGGGCGCACAGGACATGTATAAAGTAGTTCCCTTCGCTGACCTTTCTGACCACAGCACCTGTGTCCCCCTCACCTCCCTGCTGGCTGTTCATCTCATCTACGTCGTTCTATAAAGGCTCAATAAAATAACAACGAAATACAATTTAAAAACCACAAACGGGAGAAACATAAGTAAGAGTTGAAACTCAAATAATTCAGAAAGGACGTACGCACGCAGCTCACAATGGAGCCCACGGTGCAGCAAGCTGAACCTCAAATCCGACTTAAAACGCAGCTGTCCGTGGAACGTGGAAAACAAAACCAAACGCTCCGTTTGCAGGGTCAACAAGGTTTTTAAAGAACAAAAGCAAAACCTACAGCTCGAGAGGACAGAGGCTGCAACAGTACTGATGGCGAGGATCTGCCCACGCCTGCAGCAGCATCCTCCGGGAGGGGCACCGCGGCCCGCCGCCCGCACGGAGACCGTCCGCCCCGAGCGAGCACGGCACGGGCCAGGCACCTCCCCAAGGACTGGATCGTATTAACTCTCGGCTACAAATGGGGTCCTGTTCTCACTCCCATCTTTACGGATGAGGGAACTGAGGCACGGAGGAGTCAGATTATGTGTTCACAGTTCCATTTCGAGGAAGTGACAGAACCGGGCTCGCAAGCAGGGTCGTCACCCGAGCCCACGTTCTGCCACCATGCCACAGTGCGGGTGCACGATTCCAGAAAAGCCAGTTTGGGAGAGGGCCCACGTGCTGTGGTCCAGACGCCAGTTCCGTGATGCCCAGGCTTAGTCAGAGACTGATTTTAAAGTAACTAGAAAAACAGGGGGATTCGCCAGCCCTCAGAAATCCTCTAGAAATACACTTTCTTCCCAGCAGTTCTGATGGCTACTGAGCGGCAGCGAGTTCGGATTATATTGCCTAACCAGAGGCCCCAGCACAGCTTTCAGAGCCGGGTGGCAGCTCTTGTGATCACATCCAGAGAAACGGAAAGCACCTACGTGCCCGGGAGGCCTGCAGAAAGCCCCTTCAATCATCCACTGATCAACACAAAGAGTCTCTCGGGAGGACTTCCTTTAAGTTCCTAAGAGTGGAAAAGAACATTACCTACCTGCCCTGAGTAAAGACCGTTTGTTCCACTAGCTGGGAATAAAAACATGTTGATAAATTCAATCAGAATGCTGGGAGCAACTCTGGAGGTTTCTGCTGAATAAACCAGCCACTTATAGATGATCATAAATATGAGGTATCCAAAGATGCACAGCATGAAGAGAAGTTCTGGGACGGAAACCAAATAAATATTGAACTTCTTCCGGAAATGCCTAGAAAAAAAAGGAATCGATCAAACCCCAAGCCAGTTTGGAGAGTAAATTACTCTTCAATTCTTTGTGACAAGGCCTATCTCAGCAGAACATCCTTCGTCTTCTGATAACTCATATAGGATTCAGATACATCCATGAAGAAAACAGATGTGAGCACAGTGAAAATGCTGGTGTTTCACCATCAGGTCCAGTTAGAGGAAGAAAATATAACCTCTTCCTCTTCACACACTAGCTCTAGTAAACAAATAGTTTTCTAATTTATAAAATGAAAAAAAGAGTGTAACAAAAATTAGTTCCGGAAATAAACTGAATGTATATGTTGCATGCCTCCCTCCCTTGAATGTCAAACTCCATGGGGGCAAAACCTAATCTCTGTCTTCAGCACCACTCGATTCCTGGAGCCTACACCAGTGCCCAGCAGTACTATACACTCAATAAAAATAAATATCTGCTAAATAAATGAATCACTGCAACAGTCAAAAACCTGTATCATCACCACAGAATCAAACAAACAACACACCACCACACCAGCTGCTTCTAAGACCCATACAGTCTACCCTCAAGAAGCAAAGTTTAAGAAATACCAAGCTTGGCTTATAAATACTGCTTAAAAAAAAAAAAAAAAAGAATCTGTACTTACAAGTGGTTAAATACTCCCAGAATGACTCCAAAAGTCATGTGAATAATTCCTAAAATCACAGACATTTTCATTTTGAAAGAGTTTAGAAAAGTGAGACGATTTGTGGCCAAGTTCCAAATCTGAAGACAAAACAAAACAAGACATCTTTAACTTCCTTCAACTGCTTGAGGACACACAGGGGACACTGGACAAATTTCCTACCTTAAATCAAAAGGCAGCTATAGATTTAAAAAGAAAGCAACATTCAGACTTTCTTCTTGAAGCCTCCGATCTGAGAACCACTGATTTTCTTAAACCAGGGCCACAGACTGTTACAAACAATTCTATCTTTAACATAAAGTTCAAAGGATGCCAAATGAAACAATACTGTGTCTAAGGATCCGAGCCTCTGAGGCAATACTAAAAGGAAGCCCAAGAGAAAGAGTAACACAGAGTCCGGGGGGTGGGAAGTTCCCTTTGGGGACAGCTGGTGCCAGGGGGACACATTCCAGGTCCCGGGGTCTCTTACTGGGCAGGGGCCGTACAAGTATGCATGCTGTAACTTCACATACATGTTTTATACATTCTGTGTATGTGCATTTTATAATAAAGTTTAACAGAAAGGAAGGAAGGGAGGAAGGGGGAAGAGAGAGGGGAGAGAATGAGGGAGAGAGAGGGCGAGCCAGAGGAGGAGGGAGAGAGGAAGGAAGGAAGCAGAAGTGCACGAGCAGCCAAACCGCGCTGATAAGGCCCAGGGGCGCCGGGTGAACTCCCCGGGGCTCCCTGCCCCAGCCCCTCCAGGGTCCGCTGGGACGGCTTCTCTCACTCTCTGAAAAAATAATTCTAACAGTCCCTCACTCGGGGGATTGGGAAAAGGGAAACAGGACCTCTTAGGACAGAAAGACTCCTTCTTTTTAAGTGGAAATAAGATTTTAGAAAGGTCTTTCAGCTGACTTCAGCTTGACAGTTTGGAGCCACGGAAGAGCCAGCTGACGGTGGTCACTGCAGGATGGAGGGCAGGAGAGGGCAGGAGAGCAGGAAAACCAGCAACAGCGCCACCCGGCAACACGACATGGAAGTCTCTCCGATGACTAAGCTAAACACAACTGGGTACAGAACGATCTTTTAGGCAAAGAAAGGGGGAGAGAAAGAAGATGTATTTGCATGTTCATAAAGAAACCTGGAGGAGATACAACCCCAGCAGTTCCCAGGTTGGAGCCAGGGGTACTGAGGGGATAAGGACAGGGCAGAGGAGACCTTTCAGAAGAGCTGGACCTTGTACATACACAAAATACACACTTTGGGTCTATTTTTGAACCATATGAGCATAATGCTGATTTTAAAGTTAAACTAAGGCAAAAAGAAGCAGTACTATGCCCCAGTCTCCTCCTCCCCCTCACTTGAACTTTCTTTCTCGGGGCCTTTATTCAGAAATGTTTCTTTCCTTCAAGCAAGGCCACACATTATTAGGAATTTGGCTCCAAAATGCCGTACCTTAAGAGAATTGTTACAAAAGTTTTTTCACGCTTCCAATTACATGAAGATGGAAGGCAACAACGTTGAATTATACAATTTATGTGTAGAGGCAAGAATGAACACACGATTCACAATTAAGAAGGCACTAGCTTGGAGAGCTCGGATGAAGGCATGCTGGACCTCTGTCATTCCGTTTTTTCATTCCTGTACAGAATTAGAGCACATGCCCCCGGACCAATTTTGAGCTGGCCTCTAAGCTCCCCTTTCTAGGGTGAGATTCCTCCAGAAGATGGCCGACAGTCCAGGGAAACAGTGTCCCAGCCTGGAGGAGGCCTGGTGAGGGCCTGGTGGGAGGAGGGCCTGGTGGGAGCCTGATGAAGGCCTGGCAGGGGGAGTGGAGGGGTTGGCTCACTGAGCGCTGTAGGGTCTGGGGTGGGGGTTGGTGGTGGGCAGCAGTCCTGGCCCCCTGCAGCTGCGTCTTCCTTTCCCTACTCCCAATACTTCCCATTTCAAACTACCTCCATAAGCACACCCTGATAACTCTGAGCTCCCTTTCAAGCTCTAAAACTCCATACTATTTCTTTCTAGATCAAAGGGTAAAAAAAATAATAATAATAATCCCCACACACAAAGAAGAAATGTAGGAAGCAGCCTGCATTTAATGGCTCCTGAAGGGTTGGCTCTCCCTAGAGTAAAACAGGTCAGGAACCATGACAGAGTGCGGCTCCCCTTCTCCCCACAGACTCCTCCCGTCTGGACACTGACCCTGGCTTCCCAAATGGAGATCTCAGCTTCATCTCCAAGCCAACTTCACTCGGGATGCACACGGGCCACAGCCGCGCAGGCAGAAACCCCCAGGGCACCTTCCCCATCGTGTGCAACCGTGTGAGCCGTGCCTGAGAGTCTGAGGAAGCACTGTGACAATTAAAACCAGGTGGCACCACAGAGGAAGCCGCGATCATGGCGAGGAAAAAGCGCACTCACGGGATCTATGCCAAGAGGATAAGGGCCTTGGAACACTCCAGGAACGCTTGGGTCCAACTGCAAAACCCTGCTGTGCCTGACGATGGTGTCACTGTAACAGAGAGCGGAGTGAGCAGGCTTACGGACAGGAGGACAGAGGAGCCTCGCAGAAACGCTCTTCCCACCGAAAGCTCCTCTTCCCTCCGAAAGCTAAGCCCACACTTACTTCCAAAGCACCATTTTCCCGCGCTCCGCCGGGCCGTGACCGGAGCTGTACATGGCGGACACGTTCCACCCGGAGCCGAACAGGTTGACCGACTTCGAAAAGCAGTCGTTGTAGATGAGGCCCGTGTACACGGAGAACAGTCCCATCAGCAAGAGGATGTATCGGCCATTGAAAAACATGCGCATGATCTGTGAAAAGCAGAGCACAGTGAGCAGAGGAGGACCGCCGCGAAAATGCAGGAAGGGGCCCCGGCTCTGTCCACGCCCGCTCTGAACCACTCCGAGGGCCAACGTGACACAGAGGCCACAGGCCCACACCTCTTACAGCTCAGTCAGGGACGCTTACTGCCAAACCCAATATTTAAGAAACGTTCTTGTTTAGTCAAAAAGAAGATAACAACTACTAATCACTGGAGTGTCTGTGCTCTTACCTCTTGTGACTGATTTAGTCTGGGATGGTTTTCATTTAACACCAGCAAGAGGGCAAATAAGAACATCACAAAGCCATGTCCGAAGTCTCCAAACATCACGGCGAACAAAAAGGGGAAAGTGATGATGGTGAAGAGAGCTGCAAGGAGAGCAAAAGAGACTTGATTCACCAGAGGCAGAAAATTCTAGTTAATCCAAACACTCAACCTTCTCCAGACTCCCGAAAGAGAACGGACAGGTTAAAATGAGCGCTTTACACTAAGCAAGATGACACAAAAGAGTCGTGAGCCTACTTTCCCAAATGTCTACTACATCCTTGCAGGGAGAAGCAACTGCAATCAGACAAAACAGGAGGATTTACAAACTCAGACTTCCGACCTGGGTTCACTTCTCTGTAGCTCCCAACTCCGTAGGCGTCCACAATGTTCTGAAACCCCTCGGTGAACTTGTTGGTGCGGATTAGAGTTGGGGGTGTTTCTTTTGTTGGGATTGTGTTCATAAATGAGGGGATTGTAGCACCGCTCTCTCTCTTTCACATAAAAGAAAGAAAAAAAATTACTATCCAGGAGTTCATTCAACCAACACTGGCTCCCTGCTATGGCGAGGCTCTGCATGGCCCGTGGGGACGTGCGAACCACCACCCGGGGGTTCGAGGGCAACCGGAGTGGCTGCAGGAGTCAGGGAAGTCTTGGCGGGCAGCACTCGGGGGTGCGGTCTTGCAGAAGGAAGTGGTAGCCTGGCTGTGAGGGCAGGAAAGTGGACAGCCAGGCTGGGAATGACAGGAATATGTATATAAGGCAGTCTCAGAATCCTAACATAAAACTGAAATTTAACCTTTTATCTGGTAAAAATGTTCAAGCACAATCTGGAGACAACTACAATATTAGCTAATAAAACCAAAAAATAGACGAGAATAAATCAAAATGTCAGCATTAGTACAACAAAGTTGTATATATAGCTTTTTCCTGTGTTTACAAATCTTCAGAAATGTATTTATTTATAATGGGAGGGAAAACTTTTTTAAATAAATAAAGTAAAACAGGTTATTACCAAAAATTCGATTTTCCAGTCAAATTCTATTTCTTAGGATACTGCAGGTAAGGGGATTCTGGGAAAATCCCAAATGGAGGTGTAGTTTTGAACCTCCCCAAATCCCCTCAAGAGCAGACAGGGCAACTAGAGAGCAAAACCCAAATCCCACAGACAACATTTCTCTCAAATCCATGTCCGCGCAAGCCACAAAATGCAAATGGGTGGGGACAAACTGCTCAACACAACAACACCTGCACGGTAAGAGCCTCTTGACCAGAGGAAGCGAGGGAAGCAATGTGGTTTGAGAGACCCAAGGAAGAAACATCCCAAAAGAGTCAAAAGCATTCCCTGGAAAGCACAGCAGGCCAATTCAAGAAAAGCAGCTGGAACTGGGAAGGGTTCTGTCCAGTCCCAGAGTGGGTGAGTGCAAGGGGCCCACGGGAAGTGAGGTCTGCGGGGTAAAAGCAGTCCAGCACCCCCGAAATTGCGGAACAGACCGGCCAGGGCGCCCTCCCGCCACGGGGGCCCTCCACTGATGAGAGACCCGGGAATGAAACAGAAACTGAGCAGGGCAGGAACAAAAGAGATAAGGAAAGAGAAGGTCCAGGTAAAAGAGGAAGAGAGGAAGCCTTAGGTCCAGAAGCTAACACATTTTTGATCCCTGATCAAAAGTATTAAAGAAAAAAATTCTGTGAAGTTAGGAAAGTGATCCTGAATCTGCCCCTTTTAAAAGTCCCTTGAGTATCTTAAACATGTTCTGTAAAACTATGATATAAATAGATGATGTACTTACATTATATGTAATGTATGGTTACTTTTAGTATCTTAAAAATACGTTCATACATATGAATATATATTATGTCTAATACAGAATTTCCTTGAGTATTTAAACATGTTTTCAGAAAACTAATTACATTTTAAAGTGATCAAAAGAAGGATGGAGGTCAAAACTTATATAAAATTATAGTAAAAAAGACTGAGCAGAACAACATCCTTGTGGAAAATGAAAGCATGCCAGAAGGACATGTCCACAAAACAGACAAAAATTTAACTTACTTATTTCAAAATGAGCAAAAAAAAATTAGGAAAATAATACATAATATGAAAAAGCACCAGAAAGCAGAATTAGAGTCAGAAATGAGGTAATAGAACTCAGAAAGGAATTAGAAATAAACGAAAAAATATTCTGCAACATGACAAAACTAGAAGGAACTCCCAAGGTGAAAAACTTTCCTAGTAATAAAAGCCATAAGAGAAATAGGCGAAAGAATGGAAATTTTTAAAAAATCAAAAAGAAGATAAAAAGGACTCAAGAAAAAAGTGACAAACACTGAAGAAAAGCAAAGAAGGTTCAACTGAAACGTAACAGCAGGTCCTGAAGGAGGAAACCAGGGCAAGAGAACAGAACAAATACTAAAAAGCATAATTCAGAAGAACTCTTCTGAAACTTTTTTTAAAACTATATATTAAAAGAATCACTGAGGGGCGCCTGGGTGGCTCAGTCGTTAAGCGTCTGCCTTCGGCTCGGGTCATGATCCCAGGGTCCTGGGACCGAGCCCCACATCAGGCTCCCTGCTCGGCAGGAAGCCTGCTTCTCCCTCTCCCACTCCCCCTG